CGATGTATGGAAGTGCTTTTTTTTATCGTTTACACTGCCTGCAAAATACATATAACATACAAATTTTGCACAAAACAAATTCAGGTTTAATTCACACATACACAATTTCCGTAAAGAAATAGGTGAATAATGTACCTATTCATATACAATAACTTACTTGCATGCTAATGTCGTTAAAACTTTTTTTGGGCCAAAATACGATTAGTTCATTTGCAGCTCCAATGGCCTGTGCAAAAATTGCCCTTCCGTATTCACCCTCCATGAAAGGCGAATGCACTCGAAAAATACCTCCAGCAGTGCTGTGAACGGAACCCTTTCTTGAAAATTGTTCTGGATCGGGAGGGAGTCGAACCATTCCTCTTCACGTCCAGACACAATATATTACCACTACACCACCGATCCTTACACGCCAGGTTCAGCTTAGCAGCACATCTACTCTGCACCTGCGTTTCAAGGCAAGATACACCTTTCTTTTCTTTTGTGGCGAATTCTTGGTTGGCTTTTTTCTCGCGAAAAGCAACGACAAATTCCAACAGCAACCACACGCTGGCTAAACTCTTTACTGCTTCTGAATTTATAGTCCGAAAAATTCATTTATGTAAAAAATTAAAAAAAAAAAAAAAACTATTCGCGGTCGGGCACGTGGACAGTTCTGTAGAATAAAAACAAGTTCAACTCCAGATTGGTGAGAAAAATTTCATTCGTTGAGCAACTATTTTTGTAAATCAGTGCAAAGATTACTATGCACTTTTATGGTTCATTGCTATGAATAAATCAGCGACTAAAAATCGATAAAAATTGGAGGTTCGCAAGATTGTTTTCATTCGCTTTAAACAAATGTACTTCACAGTCAACTGATAAACACTCTATGAATAACCACATGCAATTCTGCTTTAACTAAAAAAAGACAAAAGCCAAAACCTCCTCTGTTTTCCTTTCCCAAAAGAGATGGAGGCATTCGGGACTACTCCGAGGGCAAGTGTCAATTCAATAAGTAGCAGCTTTATACATTCAATACTATATCAGTCTGAATTTGGATTTCAGGATCGTAAAAAATTTCTGGAAATAGAGGCACCCAAAAATTATCGCCAGAGTCGTAGCCTAGCATAAGTGTTGTAGGAATTTTAGAGATATAAACAATGAATATCCCTGGCTAGAAGATTGGTCAATAACTACGTTCAATTATGATCTAAGCAGGATGCAAGCAAAGCCGTACCCAAATAAGTATACGGAACTCACCGCATGTTAAGTTGATGTACAGTACAGGTGCTTCAACTTATTGCTGTTACTGGATCTCATTCTCGATTGAATCCGCCCCATCAATATCCTGCAAAAAAAAAAGATATTTTTACTTCCGAAACAAAAAACAATTTTAGAAATCAAAAAAACTTGTTTTTTACAAGAGGAAACGAAAACTGATTTCGAGTCCTTAATTTTCCCCACAATTCCTACATAATTTCTACCCCGCTCTAATCTTTCAAGCTACCTAAAAATATGAATGCATCTTAAGATCGATATTTTAAACGACTGCAGTGGCTCCAATTTCTTCCCCCTCTTTTATTAAATTTTCTTTCATTCCTAATTGTATAGCTTTTCTTACACTAAACCTTATTCCGCCCACCCTCCCCTTCTTTTGTTGTGTCTTAGGCCTACAAAGAATGGTAACATTAAAAAAAAAAAAAACTGAAATACCCCTAAAATAATAAACACAAAAAAACCGAGCTGAAAATCAGACACGTACAGAGGCACTTGTAAACCTCATTTTTCACTCATAAAACCTCACTAAAAATGCACAAATACGCTCAGGAACCTCATCAAATAGCGTTTCATCAAATTCGACTTCTGTGTTTGCTGCTTGCATCAGTGCCACATCGGATAAACTGAGCGTCGCATCACGCAGGAACTGTTGCCGGCCGGTTAACTTTCCAGCCAATTCGGCTTCTCGTGCCTGTAAAAAG